GCGTTGCCGCGGGGAGGCCCGGGAGGTGTGGCCGTCGCGGGGACGCCGCCTCCCCCGCAGCGGGGAGCCCCGCTTCTCTCCGTACGTCTGTGGCCCAGCACACGGGCCTGGAAGGCCGCGTGGAGTTTGGTGACGGTCGTTTTGCCTTTAGCCGCATGGCAGCGCCTCCCTCCCGCTCCTCCGGGAACCAGTTTCGCTCATACCGGAGCGCTGAAGTCAGAATTGCCGGGCGCCAGTAGGGGAAGCGAGTGCCTCGAGCGGCTGCGCGCCCGTCTGGTTGGTGAGGACGCCTCTCTCCTGTGAGGCAAATGCAGGTTCTCGAGAGGCCGGCAGCGGAGCGTGGCGACCCGACATCCACCCTGTCAGCAGGCTGGCGCCGGGCGGCTTTAGGCTTCAGCAAGCACTGAAGAAGGCTGCCGCGCAGAAGACCCCGTCAGCATGGGGTGGGGGGTGAGGGCTTCGTTTTGAGCCTGAGCGCCCCGCACTTGCCCGCCCTGCACTTGCCCGCCGGCCTTTGGGCTTCCGCGAAGGAGCCCGCGAGCCTGCGGTCAAGCCTTGGTTTTCTTCCTCCGTGCCAGGGTGTCCTCAGGGAGAGGGCTGCTCAGGTGGCGAGGGGCCACAGGTGCCTTCACCCTGCCTGGCAACACTGTGCCCTGAGTGTCCGGCTAATGTCCAGCCAGACTGGAGCAGGCTGGACTCGGGAATTGGACCCGGGAAGGGCAGGCTCTAGGCGCCAGGCCATTCTGCGCCCTTGAACGAACGTTTCAAGATTTTTGTTTTCTCTTCTTCAGTCTCGGTTAAGTCTGGCAGCCCGCTGGCAGGGCAAGTGGCGTTCTGAGTATTAGAGGCCTCTGGCGTAGGCCTCCAGCAAATCCCTGAGGCCTGCACCAGCCACCCTGTGTGGCAGTAATCCAGACATTTGCCGGCCTCAGCAGTCGACGGGGCGCCAGCTCGGGAGGTGACTTCCTAGTGCCACAGGGCAGCATGTACAATCTGACGTGCAGCTCAGGAAGCTGCTGCTGTGAACG